TCCAAGGAGTGCCATGGGTTACTACGTTTTCTGCATGACTACGACTACACGAGCATGTTAGGATGGATTGCTAGGATTCGACACGATAGTTTTCATTTCGAGCGTATCGTTTGCGCATCATCATAGGATCCGAGGTATTATCGACACGACCCGTAGCATCACGACACTTCTTAGTCTCGTGTGTTACTTATAGTTAAGTTAGCATGAAAATTGCATGCAGCAGTTCGGATGATCCATCATCCGTCTGCGAGACAGCTCTTGCTCACTGCACCGTGAGTCTGAGCTGCCGCACTTTTATCATCACGTCAGTACATGATGTAATTCAATGTTTACACTGACTCATGGCTGCCAGCTTAATCGCGCGTCAGCCGAAACATATGAGACAAAAGTGAAACGATATCGATCCTGCCATCCGGCGCCGCGAGCCACACCAACATCGAATTAAATATCTAATGTAAGTTGTCAGTGTATCAGCTCTTGCAAGGCATGCGTTGCAGGCATACGTACGCACATGGTGATTATAAAAGCTAGAGCTGAAGACCTTGAAGGGCTTCGCATATAGTCAAGTGAGATTCGTTGGACATGGCAACGGATTTCGAGGGCCAGTGGCATTTCAATCACTTCGACTACACAAACGAACCCAGATGCCAATCTACGCGTATCGGTGTATGCATGCACATGATGGGCGCAAGATCTGGTTTCTAGCTCGACGTTTGGCCCACACAAAGTTGGCTTTCGCGTCATGCGGCCGGGCCATGTTGGGTAATATGCATCATGTGAGTTCGATGCTTCGTGCCCGCTTTTTACAGGCAGGACTTGCGTAATAGTGCATGATATTGCAGCTCCCCACGTAAAATAGCATTAGACGGTAGCAACTACTGCTTCCTGTAGTTGCAGCAGTCATTCCCCCGTGCAAGTTTTCCTGCACTTATCTCAACAACCCCCGTGCAACAACCCCCGTGCAACAACCTCTCTCATGAAGCAGGGGCCCACAGCAGTTGCTGGACGTCTGACATTCTCTGACGACGTGGCGACTCACGGTCAAATCCGTGACAGGTGCAAGCTGAACAAGCTTCTTATCCACTCAGACCCGCCTCAAGACATGCCTACGGAATTATTCATTCTCAACTCTGACTGGGTTGAAAAACGGATAGACGGATCTTGAGCAGCTGCTTCCTGGCCCCTTTAATTGCGAGCAAAATATCCTGTTGTTCGCTGAGAGGATGTCCCTCATTTGCACGGTAAAATAGTCCCCTCATGTCGAAGAACTCCTTTCTCCTGTTTAATTAGTCGCATTTTGCAAGGCCCTGCCACTGCTCTCGACTGACTTTAGATTTGAAACAACTTGATAAAAGTACTGCCCTATGATCATGGACTCAACGCGTGGCTTTATAGGGGCCGGGCCAGGTGTTCTTCGGCGAAAAGTCGCAATCACTCGTGATCAGATCATAGGTGCGCTTCGTTTTCCTTGAGTGCCGTCATCATCTCAAAGGACTGCAGATCATATGTAAGTTTGAGAAGAAAGCGGGAAGAAGATTCACCTCTAGTCTTCAAGAGAGGGACGACAAACGAGCTGGTGATCTTCTTCGATGTGATCATCGTCGAGGTGACTTGCTAGCTAGCAGAGGACTCGGTTACACAGTCACACCTTTCGTTGCAATCTGTATGTTATGGAAGAAGGGCTCTGTGCAATCACTTCCTCGTTGCAAAGGGTACATATTTGCAGAAAACTGGGACCAACGTCAAGACTGTTTCGTGAATCATCTTCTGGCCGGTGCCAGCTTGAGACGCTGCGCTCCTTGTTGTGCTGACTCAACGGAAGTTTTTCGACTGAGTTCATAATCAAAAGTCTGTGCAATAACCGGATCAACGGGTTTGCAGCGGCGCAGAAGTAACTGTGTTGCTGCATAAACGAATTTGCAGCCGTTGCAGTGTTCAAGGCAGGGCAACCACGCCGAGTCACCTGCTTCGATCTCCGTCCCCCTTGATCTCCTCGTGCGCACGAGACTTCCGTTCATCAAGGTCAGTCCATCAGAAAAGTAAGCACGAAGGCCAGCTGCACCCTAAAAACACGGTACGTCAAAAAAATAGACGATGTGCCGTTTGACAATTGGTTATACGCTTTGAACGTCGGTGCAAGTGAGGGAGCTGACCCCAGGGCTGACGCGAACCAGTCCGCGAGATTGGGCCAACCAGGCGCGTACGCATCGTTCAGCTTCATAGAAATGTGGGCTGCCTAGCTTGCCTTCTCACAGTGCGGTAGCACCACACACTGGTGGAGAGTCAACTTGCCGTAGTCCCTCAGGACGATTGCAAGTAGGAGACGGACTTCGAGATGAAACAACGAACAAAGAAACTGGTTGTTGAACTGGGGCCAGTCTTAATCAGTCGGCCTTTTATATTGCAGCTTCAGCTAGATATATATCAAGCTGAGTCCCCTTGCCAGAAAACAAGAAACTAAGCCAGAGCCTTCCGATCGGGGCCGCAAACGAATTTGTGGCAGGTTTGCTTAGATATTAGCATTCTAGCATATCAGCATAGTAGGTTTTTCTTGACTTCGACTGCGTGCAGTCTGCACTTGGAAAGAATCGTACATGGTCAATGCTGTGCGAAAGTACTAGGGCAAAAGTCAACAAATTGCAGGTTGAGCTACCCGATTCTCGACCTGATTGATCAGCTGGGGCCAAATCACTTATGAAAATGAGTATATGCATATCGAATCTGCTGCTAATATAACCTACAGAAGGCCTATCCTGGGCCCGGAGGTTGCCAGAGTTGCCCGCGACGTTGCGCAACTTTCCGCGATTCTGCGCGACTTTACGCAACTGCTCCGCGACTTTGTTTCGCGAACTTTGCGACCTTCACCGCGACTTTATCAATCTTTGAAAAGCATAAGTTTGAAGCAACATTTATGTTTATATGCTTGCAGTGCTCCGCGACGTTCCGCGACTTTTCGCGACTTTCCGCGACTTTCATCCGCGACCTTCACCGCGACTCTGCGACCTCCGGGTCCAGGATAGGCTACAGGCTCCTAGCAGGATTTCAAGGGGATTCCAAACGCCGCGCTGCCGGCGCGCTGCCGCCCTCGCGTGCGCCTTAGTATTGAGCTACCAACGATACCAATAGCTGCTGATCTGCCAATCTGTGGAGGATCTGAAACGCTCCACGTATCAATTGGCAATTTCGAAGATACGCTGAGAAACTCCGGCCTTGCCAGCGGTGTTCTGCCCGACGGTCAATCATCTGGATGCTCGATGACGACAGTAGCTGTCTCGGTGGGGAAGATAGGGAACTCCCTCAACTTCCAAAGTTGGCTCGTTGGCATGCTCTGATTGGTCGGATGTGGGCGAAGGAGCCAGCGTGGCAGTTCCTTCACCATTAACGGGGCTGCCACCGTTACCAATCAAGTTCAATGGAGCCCACACTTCAGCCCGGACATCATGGCACATGGACTCGGAGTGCATGTCCTCGCACAGCGCTTTGGTTGCAAATCCACAACACCTGATCTTATCTATTCCTGCGTGCGCATTTTCCAGTTTGATCAGCTTCTCAGACGTAAGCGAAGGGTTGACGGAAGAGTTCTTCAAGTTGTGAGTCAGTTTTCTTGTTCATTCATCACTCCCGTGGGTAGAATTTCATTCAAGTGAGCTGGCAGCTTTGACGGAGCCAATCTGAGAGATCTCTTGCACTTGTTCCTGTGGAGAGCGCTGGAGCAGGATGTTTGTGCTGGCATCGTGTCAGGAAAACATCCGCATTGTGCCACAGGACCTGCATAAAGAACAGCTGCAAGCAATCACGGACGAGATAGAAAAGACCTATTTTGACAAGGTGAGACAGAGACACTCTGGAACTCATTCACTTTCTAGGTTGAGTCGAGGGATTTTCCTCAAGTGCGGTGCTGGGATCAGGGGTCTTGCAGGGCAGGGGCGACTTTTGCTCGTTAGTTTCATTGTAGAAAAAGCCAGCTTCTGGCCTTTCTAGAGCCCAAAATCCCACGCTAGGACACAAAAATTGCAAAGAGTGGAACATTGTGCCATGCGGCGCCGTTGCCGTTCACGGAGTCATATAGCGATACCTTTTCATGATGTCAGATTGGTGCAACAAGGAATGCAATGTTGCTCAATTAGTGCCTCACAAAAGGTCACAGTCTTGCAACAAGTGGCTCAAGAGAGTAACTGGAAGGGGCACTTTCACATCACCCCCTCTCACCTCGCGCTTATAGTCGAAGAAGGAGGCATAATCAATTGTCACTGCAAATCCTGCCTTGCGTGCATCTGCAAAGTTCAATGAAGGCGCACCTCATCACGTTGGCCTTTGGCGTCCACTGCAAGCAGCAACTCAAAAAGCTGACCTCAAAAGCTGCAAATGTGCTCAAAAGCTGACCTCCAAAGCTGACCTCCGAGCTGACCTGCTTGCGCCGCCTTCTCAGGTAATCCCGGAAGTGGGTCTCGTCATCACCCTTTACGACATCTCCTCCATTGAGGGGGGAGAAGTTTATGCAGGCGACGGCGCCCCCCGCTTCTCTGTGAGTTCCCCTCACCCCCTAAGAAGCCCCCGCAAATGCAGCCTAAGCAGATTGGGCTTGTGCTTAGATGGCCACTGTTTTTCAACGTCAATGCTTTTGCGCAAGGATTGTGCCCAACCATTGGTAGAGAAATGGACTTCCCGGTCTTCCTAGCTGTAGATTCTTGGGTGTCAACAATGCTAAGGCATTCGCAAAAGCGCATCCTGTTGTCAGGTGGAGAGAGAAGCTAATTTTCGATGAGCCAAAGCGTTGTGATGTATAGCAGGTTTCCCTGTCTCTGGCACAGTCCAGCTCTGCGTAAGGTCTCGCTAAGCCCAAACATCTGCAGCAGTGAGAAACAGCATATCCAGACACTGATTGCAAACGTGCTTGCGAGTGATATCTGTTATCTTCATGAGCAGTTCAAAAGCTGGACGAAATCCGATTTGAAACTATTGTGACAGGTACACATTTGGGTTCTTGGGACGGGGATCTGAAAAGTGGCTCGAAGTGGTCACAGAAGTCTCCAGCGACTCGGTCAAAGAAGTGGTTCGAAAGTGGACAAAGTTTCACTGTGAAAGCAGTCACTCGAAGCACTTTCAAAGCAGTAACAGTGACGGTTGCAGGGTTGGTTTAAGTCCGACTATCTTTCTCAATGACGACCGACTCACTCAACAAGTTAATGAGGGGACAAATTGGATTTTGCCAGGTGTCATTCCGGCTGGTGGTTTTCCGGCCGTTTGTGGGCGAAGTCCTCGTCGGAAAGTTACTCGACTCTGACGCGAGCGGGCTGAAAGGTGAGGTCAACCAGAACGTCCGTTGGACCAGATTGTGTCTGTCAAACCGAACTGTTTCGCTTAAGTTGAAGAAGCAGCTTTGCATGTTGCAATTTCGTAACGCATATGTCTGAGACTATCGTGTGCTTATATGCAACTCTCGCTGCATCAGCTGCCACTAGACTTTGCTTGAAGGCTTCGCTTGCTGCTTTCGGCGGAATGCAGAGCCTTCTCTAGTCCCCTAAAAGCTGCGATTGCGCTTCCCCTGTTGGTTCGCGTTTTGTGGCTGTCATCAGTCAGCGTCAGTTTTGGGACTATGTCAACGTTGTTCGCCAGGCTGCGACCAGGTTTCTCAGCATAAGATCCAGGATCGCGTCTTCTTCACCGGTATCAGGATCTCGAGTTTGATGGAGAAGACTCTGTCAAAAGAGGGCGTCAACATTTAGAGACCTTTTGTGGGCCTCACTCGTCAAAGAGCTTCTTCAGGTTCTCGAAAAGAAGATTAGTACTTTGTGTCAAACTGATTTTGCAAAGACTCTTAAAGACTCGTTGGATCAGCCAGGTAACTTTCAATCGAACAGAACGAGCGTTTGCTCTTTCAACGTCAACGACTTTTGTCGCCTCTCCTACTGGATTGCTGGAACCCAGAATTGGATTCAGAAAATATCATCATCGACCTGATTCCCTGCTCATGCAATCTGCACATGGGCCGCGCGATTGAGCTCTTCTGAAACCTGAAACCGTAAAAACCTAAAATCCTAAAACCCTGATATCCTGAAATCCTTAAAACCTTCGGTTCGTACAGTCTCGCTGGGCTTCTTCGACGACATCCACGTTCCGGAGCATCTGCTCCAAGAGCCGTCCGTCTTGTGAGTCGCCTGACCGGAAAAAATATTACCTTCTCTCAGCACGTTGCTTCTGCTCTCATCCCCAATAATCTGGGTCTTTGAAAACAGTGTGGAAAAGCCACTCTCTCCGTTCTTCGAAGAAAAGTAAACAGAGATACGATACACCAGGGAATCTTTCTTCGTTGGCAGACGGAGACCCTTTCGTTCTGCGCCACGTGAGTCAATTGAAGCGTGCTGACGTCATGCTCAGGGACGCCGGGAGCTCTCTGACGTCGTGCTTGCGTCATCTGTGCAGCGACGACACCGAGGGGCTGTGGGTTTGGAAGTACAATGACAACGACATGTTCATGGACAAGGAAGAGGAGGTGAGGCGTTCGAAGGGCTAGAACTCTCAGGGTTTTGAATTCTTTGGTTCCGGGGATTAGGTTACTTTTCACGCATGATGGCCGACACTTAACGGCACGGCTACTGTTCAGCAAGACCACGCGGCTTTCAGGGATAGTAAACGATTGCACAGAATTCATAGCCACTTAAGCGTAAGAAAAGCACAAACCTGTTGTCGGTGGGTCGCCGCCGCGCATCATTGGGTACGGACGATTGTCCCTCGAAATTTTGTGAGTTGAGCCCTTAGGTGGCACTTCCGACGGGACAGGTGGTCGTCTGCGCGGATCTCAAATCACGCAAGGAAGTTTTAGCGCATTCGGAACCCTATCGCTTAGGGTCTGGTTTGACGCGACATTGGCTTTACAAAACCCGCGGAGCAAGGTTATTGGCATGTTACTTCGACGGGACATAGAAATCTTACTATTCTATTCAAGGACGTTGGCTTCACGACTGCCTCCCCTGCTCCATCCATTTTGCGTTGCGCCCTGCTAGTACCCGAAACTAGTGCTCCAATCCGCCACCTGACAATTGCGCCTGTGTTAATGACGAGATCCACCGCTGTCTGCAGGTGCGCTTCAAGGTGTCCTCGGTAAAGTTCCCCCCGCTGCCCCCCGAGAACGACGGCACCGTCAAAGTCTTTTCGCCCATGGAGATCACGGTAAGCGCGCCGTCTCTGCATGTCTTCTAAGGAGGAGCAGCCCTTCTCAAAGAGGGCTGGCGCGCAGAAAATTGGCCGCAGCTCATTGCCACGGTAGGATACTTCACAAGAGCGTTCTGAAGGTCCTTTTTGAGGAATGATCCTAAGGACGACGGAAATTTTAAAGACGACCATTTTTTTGCGGAAAACAATCTTGGATTATGCTACTGTTGCCTCCGCGGTTTGCTCCCGTCTGAAAGCGGGAGGTGTCGTCAAAAGCCCGCTCCTTTGGAGGTCTACTGCGAATTCTGGGATTTTTGCAACACTCAGTACGGTCTTAGCTTTTGGGTGTTGACCTTTTTCTGGATGAAATGCTGTTGAGGAAGTTTCATTGCGTACTCAGGCCTGGCGCTGTTTGGCGTATGCAGGGCGATATCAACGCTGACGGTTTGGGCCTCGTCTCCTGGTGGTCATAGACCTGATGAATCGCATGCCTGACCCCTCCAAATAACGAAGGTCCAGGAGTGCAACCTTGGCCCGGATTGACACATTGACACCTCGCTTTCCTGAGAATAGTTCATAAGCCCGCGGGCCTCGGTACGTTGCACGTCGACGCAACTCTAGTTCGTTTTCATACCTGGACTGGCACGGACATTGGCGGCCTCGGCTGAGGTTAGATTTGATTTGAAGGTGACGGTCGGAGCTGAACCTCTTACATGCTAGTGCCGAGCTAACTGGGAAAACCGTTCCAATACCAGCTGCGAGGCTGGCGCCGCGGCGGCAGGTATGCATACCAGAGGATAGTGGCCGCGCCGCGAGCCTAGCCGATCGTGGCATGCTCAACAGTTGTGGTGCGGCGAAAATGCGCAGACATAACCATTGGCGGCGCGGATCGGATAAGATGAAGAGGAGGCAAGAACTGAAGTATGCGCGGCCGGCTAATTATATGAGGGATGGTTTGATCGGCTGACTCAATCAGTCAGTGTATATACACTTCAAATAGCTCGATCCACATTAAGGTGCTCATAACATGTGACCGGCCGAAGTTGCACTTTACAATCAAGGTTGCGTCGATCACTACACAATCGGAATATGCAGAGCCTGAAGCACTGGCATCATTGATACTTTGTGCATGCACGACAAATCAACTCGAGGACATGCCTACTCTACACATATATCATGTTGCATGACGTACGGAGATGCGGATGGAGACATAGTGCATCAGTGCGCATATGCTCTTAATCCTGTACACATATGTGGCGACAGTCATTATTGCATGGCATGCTCAGCAATCATTTAGCTAGCAAGGAATTGTACGCCGCGCGTTCATGTACTACCGACCATCTGGCAGCGGGCAAAAAGCTGACACAGTGACGGGAAAGATTGGGAATATGATGCATGGCAAGATGGTGCCGTTAGTAGCCGGCGGCTGTCGGTTGCCGCTCCGCGTATCACTATACAAGAAACACATGCACGTGTGCCTCATTCCACTGGCTAGCAAAGGGGTACAGCGTCGTCGTCGAGCAAGGTTGAAGTATACTGACTTAACGAAACCAGGGGGAGCTCTGAGCATGAACAGCTGTAGGCTGGTGCGCAGAGTCAGTAGTTTTGACAACAGTCAATTGAAGACAGCGAAACTTAACATACTCGAAGAACAAAACTGTGCTTTCTAACGAACATCCTCGTCAACATCCTCATCCACTGTTCCAGGATACCCACTATCACAGGCACGCTTTTTCGTTAAGCTCAACAACTCGATTGATTAGGGGCAGTCGCGCCTTGCTATGTTACACTACGAACGACTGCTGGATCGTCCTCAACACTTTTTCATTCGTCGACCACTGCTTGTCGTTTGCGCTGACGACGAAGAGATAGACGGCGTTGTCCTTGGCCGTCGCTACAGCCAAGTTGTGGGTGCCGTTCTTTGCATAAGGGGAGTCCACTGTGTACGAGTAATACTGCACAGAAGCGATTGTGACGGTGTCAACGTACGGCCGACGCACAAGCCACGTGACGGGCAACGCACAAGATGGCACTAACTCCTCGAGAGATACGAGATGCGAATCACGCGGGCACAGGTTTTGACGATCGAACAGCCAGTGGTCCCGCCGTGCAGATTTCGAATATTATTGGATGCCTATGTTGCAATAAATGAATGGGCGGGGATGCAGCAACCAACTAATGTTCAGTGCTTCCGCTGCCTGGTCCCTACATGGATTTATGAGTACGTGTGTAGAGGCAGAACAAAAAGGAGATTTAAGGAGACGCAATGGACTCACGGTCCTGCTCCCGTCCTTTTTGCTGTTGACTTCGACAATCTCCTCGGGCTCAATCGAGTTTCCTGGAAGAAAACGATGATTGGAGGTTTTAGCAACGAAGGCAGTGGTGCCACTCGTAAGAAAGAAAGTCAATTTTTGAACACGAGACGTTTGATGTGAGATGAGGCTTTCAAGAGGTACCGTGTTTAGATTCACGCCACACCAGCTTCTCCACCTACGACTTCCCAGGTGCAACCCCGAACAAGCAGATTGTGGGCAGGTTATCAAAACGGGTTATTGAAAGGCGGGTTATTTAAAGGCGGGTTATTAAAAGGCGGGTTATCAAGAGGCGGGTTATTAAAACCGGGCACACTATCCTGGAGGTGCTTCGGCAACACGAGTTGTTGAGATCCTGAGCAACAGGAAGCAGGTTCTCAGAGACCTATGCAGTCTGCAGATGATTGATGTACTACAAAGTCAGTGAGATGGGTAAATGACAGCGAGCTGGCAACTGACGTAGATGTCAACAGCCCGACGATTTAACTCCGAAGAAAGGGTTTGGGTAAAGAGCTTGAGCCTTTGATCCGTTGCTCAGAGGGGAGGTCGAGATGCTGCATGCAGACAGATAACCCCTTGAGGAATCTCTACCGTCACAAATGCTTGCCCACTCAAAATACAGTTAGAATCCCTCCGACAGTGGTAATTGGAGGAACCAATCATCTCATGGTCTTAGCTTTTGACAACCTTTCGCGTGGAAGAAACATACAACCTCATCCCAAGTGACAGTTCTAATCCATTCAAAACATCCTGGGATGAATCAGTGGGTCTGTGTAGTTTGTGGAGACGGATTGTGTTCCCAGCACTTGTGAACGAAGGAAACTCATGGAACAAAGAAAAAGGCGCACCAGTGACAAACTGCCCAAGGGAGTTGATGATGTCATCAGCAGACCCGATGCTCTCAATGCTGGCGCCAGGCACGTTCGTCAGCCTCACAAGAGGGCTGATGATGACCTGGATTGCGCCCTGCTTCGGGCTCTCGAACTTTGCCTCTACCCACGGCTCTGCACCACAGTGGGGGTGGATTAAGGTGTTGACCTCTGAAAGGGTCGTCACACTTGGTTGCAAATCGGAACTTACATTGCCTATACAGAGAGGTGCTCCGGTGTGAAATGCGCGCTGCGGGAAAGTTGGCAGCTGAGATATCAGGTTCACGAGTCGCTGTGAAGAAACAGATGAACCGCAGGGCTGTTGACCTCGAACTTTTTCACTTCAAGCTGGATTGAGGACTGTTTGGGACCAAGAAAGAGACAACCCTTGCTCCGATACGTTCACACCCTTCTTCTTCAGAGTCTGCTAGTGCTGAAAGTTGGAGAAAGTAAGCAGCCAAGCATCACGTAATCCAGGACGAAGCTGCAACTTGAACTCTCAAAGCTTACCTGCATTACTCCCGCGCCCATAAAATGCTTAAACTTTACTGGATAGATTGTCAAGGGCGCCACAAGACCTTTCATTTTGGGCTTAATTGAAAGCCAGGACTTACCTGCACACTTTGGTTGGCAGTAGTTCCCGCTAAGAATGTTTGCAACCCTGGCTTCTTTCCAGGATGGGGGGATCCAGAACTGGTAGGGAGACAGATTCCCGGCCCTCAAGGCTGGCGTCTGATTGGGGGTGGGCTTGAAGATCACATACGACGGGTCTGGGGCGGCAGGGTAGAGAGCGCCAACCTACAGGAAAAGTTCAAACATTACTAACAACAATATGAAAGTAGGAAAATATAGAGGTTTTAAAGAGTCTGAAATCCGAGGATTTAAAAATCAATTGATGCATCAAGCAACGGTCCAGACTGACGGATTCAGGGGGTGAGGAACTCGAACGACTTACTGGTGACTTCTATTGCTTTCTTCTATTGGTATGGATAAGAAGAAGGTATCAGGTTATTCACCAGGTTATTCAATCAACACTTAACCACCCAAATGCCAACTAGAAAACACAGCATTGACTCTTTGTTATCAAAAAGATGCATCCGACGTGGTGCTCAAAAGTTGATTGAAAGCCGGCAGCTCATATCGCGGACATGACCTGCATTGCTTCTTCAAATCATTCAAGAATCAAGCCACTCTTTCAAACGTTTGCTGAATGAGCAGTTGCTGAATGTGCAACATGCGGATGAGGAACCTTGAGCAGAAAGGACCTGAAGCGAAGACCGCCAGCCCCTGTAAAACCTGCATTCATTCTGCAAAAAAACGATGCTACTCTATAGCTCAATAGAAGGGGTTTGGAGGACCAGTCTCTGCACTAAGAGTGCACCTCGGTCGCCTAGAAACTTACCTCCAACTCCCTTGCATTTGCTTCCCCAGTTTTTTGCACCGACGATGCCAGCGCTGCTCCTAAAACCCCCAGACAAGCGGCTCTTCGACTGACACGCCCTTCATCAGAAACAGGATCTGGGACTTGACACCTTGTTGCTGCAGCAGTGTGGCGCTCAGGTTTTGAAACAAATCCAGATGGTTGCTTCCGAATGGCCTCGGAACCTCTTCCTGCAAAGAGACTCCGAGCAGAATGCAAGGCTGCCGCCTCATCACGGCCCGCAGCATTGAAAGTCTTGCAAGGGCAGGCTGCTAAGCCTGCAGAGTTCAGCAGCAACGAGCAGGTGGCGGAAGCCATTGTCAACGTTTGAGCAAGCGACACGTCGTCTCCACAGGGATGAGAAGAAGCTCTGGCTTCTTTCGTCTGAAGTGCGATTTTGCAGAAAGCTTTTGCAACGCTATAGGGTTTTATTGAGCCGAATGACAGCGCCCTTATGGCGCTCTTCGGCTGATCATGGATTACGGTACCGGTACATGTGTGTTCGTAGGTCTCCTTTAAAAGTCATTGCCAACAACCGTGAGCCGGTCTCTCGACGCTGTTTGCTTGCATCTCCTCATATGTGTCCCCCGTATTAAACGGATATGTGGCTTATCCGGTCAGGATTTACATCCCAAGTCCAGCTTCGCAAGGCAGGGCACCTGGCACAACTTTTCACCACTTCCAAACACTTCACTGTCTTCAGTCTTCACAGCAAGTGAAAGCTAGGTTGTATCAGGAGCATTTGAGCGCACCACCTGAAGGAAAGTCTAGGCCTCACAGTTTAGGGGTGAGGAAATTGGGCTGGTTCAATTAAGCCAAGCATCTTCTTAGTGTTGAGTTGTGCGGTGGATCGTGCAATACATTAAGATGCGAAGACCTTAATGCAATCAGAGCTACCGCAAGCGCAGCCGGCTTTTGCCCGATTGCATACATATAAAGGTAGATGCGAAGCCACAGACAGCTTCTTGCCAGTCGAGGGTTTCAGAGCTCACTGAACCTCTGGGGGGGACATGGCAGAGAAGCTGCCTAGTGCATGGAGCGTAGACGCCAATCTGAGCAGCAAGCTTGAAACTGCCACTTGCGACCTTCAGGTGAGATTTTTACCATTTTTTGAAAGCCGACGTTGCGCCTTGCGTACATTCCCAGCTTGCATGTTGCTCAAGGTGACTGGAGTAATGAGGCTTTCACCTCTGGAAAGTTTTTTCTTTCACTTGGACAAGACACTGCAAACTTTGGCAAGGTACTTAGCGAGTGCACACGAGTTTGAGTTTATTTTTTGAACAGAAATCTCTTCTCTCAGGTTATCTATAGGGGCTCTGGCAAAAGTGACGCTGAGGCCGCTGCGGTGAAGGCAAACCGGCCTGTTCCAACCAGTGTGCCAATCTTCTACTATGAAGTGCGAGTCATCAGCAAGGGGAGGGATGGGTGAGTCTTAAGAAGGGATCTATTTCATCAATCATTCTGAATTCATTTGCACCATGCTCTTTCTCTGAAGCAGTGGTGTAACTGAACCAGCCTTATTTTGGTGGTGTGACTGATTCAAGGTGGTATTTCTAAGTCAAACCTTTGCAATGCTTTTAGAGCGTAGCAGTGGTCTCAAATTATACCTCTTGTTGATCCCAGACATTCTGAACCTCAAGTTGGTACTACCAAACCATCCCTTGTCCAAAGTGCAGCAGCAGCAGCAGTGGTGATTTGCGACATGGAAGCATTGATATGGATTGTTACAAACCCCGCTGATACTTGTATGTATGCTGAGAAGCTCTGTTGTATCTTCTTCATCAGATACATCGGCATCGGGTTTTGCGCGGACCGGGTGCTGATGTCACGCCTCCCAGGTGCGCTTTAGACCAAGTCTTCTCCATTATCCTTCCGACTAAAGGTGGAATGTCAAAATCATTGACATCATGTCATATCCAACCTCCTCGAAGCCACCTTGCCTTTTCCTGAATGTTGGCACCTGATTGCACTGAGGAATCTGCAGTGGTGGAATCTGAGCCAAGCAAAACAGTCAAGCCACAACTTGGATGTAAAGCAGAGTCATTCTACGACATAGCTTGATAAAGACTACTGTTTCTGTTGTTGTGCTTGTCCTCCCTCACGAGAAGGCCAGCTTGAAGAGTGTTGATCAACATATTGCATTATGCACCCTCAGTTGACCATACGATTCCGACTTCTGACTTGACTTGCTATGTATATCTCCAGGATGGGAGCTTCATTCATACGGGTGAGTTACGCCTTCGAACTTCATTTGCCTGTTCACGCCCCACCATATGTTCTGAATTGGTGATTGGAGGAGATGTATCCTTCCTGTCTAACCAATTCACCGGGTGTATCCAGCATCATATGACGTTTTAGAAGGGGGTCTCCTAAGTTTTTTTCTGTCGCCCGCTCAGCTGCACCACCCTTCCATGTAGCCAAGTAAAGTTCGGAGCTTTCAGCCGCTTCCGTGTGTTGATCCTTCTCCGTGAAGTTCTTACAACACCTGGCTAGGAAGCCACACTCAGTTGAGTCAAAGGGACTGCTCGTATGGATTCCTGACGTCCTTTTCAGGTATCATGGCGATGACGGGTGCTCGTTCCGGGGGTGCTCGCGGGGCACCATTTACGGGCCCACGTTTTCGACAGGGGACGTCATTGGAGCATGTTACAATCAGGTCAGGTTTAACCCTGAGTCTCCATAGCTTGGGATTCATCATCTCCTCTGACTTTCTTCCTGTTGGCGAGCTTTTTGTATGTCAGATGCAGAAGGTCGAAGATAGAACCTTGCAGCTTGCCTGACTTCCCAGTACCGAGGGTTCGGTTTTGTTTTTGAGATCCCTCCGCAACGATTGCTCAGATGAATCTCGAAGACACCAGATGAAAAGATACTCTTGAGACTACGACTGTTCATACGATGATGGAGTCCCTTTGCGTACGTAAGAAAGCCATTAGGACCCAGTTAGATGGACGAAGCGAATTTAGCTTCCGTTTGCTCTGGACCGTCGATGCTGGGGACACCAATCGATGCCAGGGTCCAGAAGGCGATCCGGCACATAATTTCCCGTTCAATCAGTATGTCGGCCCCTGATCGAGTTGTCCATTGGAGCTCCTTATCTTGACATGGTTCTGCGATGTCATCGTGCAGCTGGAGCATTACATCATGTACACGAAAAACGGGGTCAGCCTTGGAATCGCATTTCCAGGCGTCAACGGTGAGCCGACAAACGGTCCTCTGCTCAGTGTACGTTGTGACAGCGAGTTTCGAAAATCTCAAAAGATTGAGTTTTCGACGATGCAAAGCTCCTACAGATTCGGCGACGAACAAACTTTTAAGGGGAATCAAAATACATCTGGTCAAGGGGCTGACTCCGGAACCCCCGCAGGTAGGTTGTCCGTCTTTCGACAGCTCGTTACGCCCTCTTGGTATGACATCAAATTCATCGTTCGTTCGCATAACGAGTGTTATGCAAATTCAAATTGCGACACTTCAATTCTACGCCGAGATGCTAGGTCCTGCAAGCAAAAACTGACCTGCAAGCAAAACTGGCCACCGATTTGCGCATCATTCTATCGCTCAACATCACAGCCGTATTTCGGCCCCGTGCAGAGTTACTGTATCCGACAGTCGGCCTGCGAACTCCTGGGGAGAAAGTGGAGGCCAACTTCGGGACGAAGCCGTTCGTGTTCGACATAGATAGCTTTGTTCAGGTACAGCCCTCTTCACCAGCGCTTAACCATCGGCTCTCCGTCCTGGTCGATGCAGGGCGGAAGCGCCAGGAGCTCTTGTTCGTGAACCAGAAACACCCCACCTATTGTCGTATCTCCTTATCAGGGATCTGTTCCTTGCTTGATGAAGCGACCCATATCCCGCTCTCTCGAGCACTTGCTGAAAGTAGCCGCCAGATTGGAAAGCTTTTGAATTGGGTTACTGAGTCCGAGTTTTGGTTGACTATTCAGATGCGATGCACGGCCGATCTCGGGCCTCAGCATAATTCCCGAAAAGAGTTGGAAATGCCCGGTTTTGCCAGTTCTGAGCACTAACCTTTTTTCGCAACAGGAGCAAAAGCGGACAGTGCTAGCGACGATTCAGTCAACCCCGATTCCGGACTGTGACGTCGTGCGGCGGCTCGTGCTGTCGTACCTGACGCACCATTGCTACTGCGGAACGGCGGCGGCGCTTGCGCGGGATCTCGAGAAGGGCGGCCTCCAGGGGGATCGACTAGATAGTATGCTGCGGAGAAAACGTGAGCGCCCGATCGGAGTGTGGAGGTATTTGCTGCTCTGGAACTAGCGGCGACTTGCAAGTATCTGTACTGCTCCAAAGTCGTTCAACGTGCAGAGAGAAGAAAGAGCATGGCCATTTTCCAGTGCGGTGCATTGATAGAAAGGGTTTTCCTGCAAGGACGTATAGACAGGGGAGTTCAACATGCCGCAAGAGGAAGAATAAGTAAGAGAACAACGATTCGTTTCGCTCTTGGCGGAACGGGTCTTCTGTTGCCTGACCTTTCGACGGGCCTGTTCCTCATTCAAAGTGGCTGGCAGGTCCTCTAGAACTTGAGAACCAAAAACATGGATAAACGGAGCACTTGTTTGATTTTCTGGCGGAGTGGCAGAAATACAGTAGGATGCATTGACGAAGACTTTCCGAGTGGAGTTGTGAACTCGTCAATGTATAATCCCCGGATCGATGAGGCATTCTGACAAACACAGGCAGTTGAATAGTTTGTCTCAGGATCCCATCGTCACAGTTGCGCTTGTTTGTGCAGAGCTTTGTAGTTTAGTGGAGGAGGGGCGGATAGACGAGGTAAGCCAAAGGTTCTCGAACTGGCCGCCTTTCTCGCCTAGAAATTCGCGTAAGCATGATTTCGCCCTTCTTTTTGCGCAGGGAACTAGTTCCCAGAGTTACAGTTTGATTTACGTAGCCCGGAAATATGATGCAGTCCTAAGGGCGTTTTTGCGCAACAAACGGCAGTTAACATCTGGCTCACGTCTGGAGAGTTCCTTTTCACTCGATCGGCCCATTCCTTGGTGACGACCTATTATCCAGCAACCTGGGCCAGGGATATTGCAGAGCTCCTACAGCGGTGAAACATAGGTGGACCCAGAACACTTTTGTCGAAAAGCCTTTTATTGTACGTCAGCATTTCCATTGTGACACCTCGCTAATCCAGTTTCGATCTCCGCTGCAGGCTATCCGATTGAGTCAGGAGGCGACGCCGATGCTCTTCTCCGCTTTTCCGGAGGTGCTGTTCTCCTTGAAGTGCCAAAAGTTCGTAGAGATGGTGAGACCTGTACAATCTTTCTACATGTTTTGTTTGTTACGAGTACCTTTTAAGGAGATCTACGGTCTATATATCTAATGCGCTTCTCTGCGGTCTGATTTTCGGGCCCCTACTTGTATTCGTCAAAAGAGCGAAGGCTGGACGCTTCAGCAACTGAAATCTGAAGGAAGATCAAAGTCGATATGTGGAGGCCAAGATCGGTTCATTAGAAGTCCCTTATCCGACACTTGAAACGGGTTTTTCGGGGGCACGTGCATTGGACAACCACGCTCCGACCGAACCCATTGAGACGGTTGAGATGAATCTGCTGAAAATCTTCTTCCTCATACGACTTGAACATGACCGTTTTGGCGCGACAACGCATTCTGAGACCCTGTTCGCCTGTCTGACGTTTGTTTGATGCAAAAAGCGCGAAGCTCATGTACCGGCGATCATTGATCGAAGTCCCAGCTTTGAGTGTGTGTTTGCGAAAATGGGTGCGTCATTTGTCAGGAGCTGTGTGATTCATGGATAATGGCGCACGGGTCGTATGGTTGTCGATCGCAGGATTGCGCGAGCGGTGGCAATCAGGCGTAGCTGCGCAGACTTTTGATCTTTACATAGAGACTTTGGCCTCCTAAGAACGAAAGCAGTCACGAAAAGGTGAAAGAAAAGGTGGTCGTGCAATCTCTTAGTTTTCAAGCGGAATCTCGTGTGCCAACCTTTACTCCAAACCCTCAGTTGGCGAGTAGTTTCCTTTCTACGACAAAGGAACAGAGGACAATAAAAGGGATAACAGTGTTTTTAGCGTCTATATTTCATGCCGACCTTGTGATTGGGACCGTGACTGTCAGGTCCGCGCGGGCAATGACGAGGCGACGATGGCGTACGGCCGCAGCGAGCTATGCGGCGGCGAGCAGCCAGGGGGGGCGACCGAAGCAGTGCAAGAAGTGGTTGGACTGCTCGCCTACCCCGACCCCCAGGCGAGCCCCCTGTCTTACCTGCTGGAGCAGGGGCGACGGAAGGCCGTCTCGGAAGAGCTCAACGTCGCCTTGAAAGGTGAGAACTGACTCTGCAGGGAAGGATTTCGAGTATTTGGGCAAGAAAAGGTGAGGAACGAGGGGGTGGTGTTGAGGGTTTGCTTCAAGGAACGCTTCTACAGTAACCGCGTCATCAGACAGGGACGGGATGGACGTTTATAGGTAGATACTCCCTTGGAGTGAGCGGCTCTTTCCATCTTGCAATCTGGTCGATTTCCATCTTGCAACTGAGTTGCCTCATCGGCACTGTCCCATGGACCCAGGAAACGAAAAAATGTTCTATTTCCTCACTCGGTCAGGTCGAGTCAAAAAGTTCATGGGAAAGCTGGGAGCGTGCGGTACCTTTAGCTTCAAGTACTCCTGACTCGATAAAATAGCTCGCTCAAGAAGAGAGCGTTGCAGAGCTGGTTTCGCAGTTGGGCTTTCCCGCACTTGCTTTGTGAGATATGCGAGAATCGGGGAGAAACGTACGTGTCCGGGATGCCATTTTGATATCGATCAGGATGGCTCACGATTGGAGTGCCGATTGTCTCCTCTTCTCACCACGGTCTTCAACCGGCTTTGCAGCATTGCAAGGGGAGCCCAGCCGGCCTCCGTTGACGGTAAGTTTCGTGAAATGTTCCGTTGATATAAGATCTTGTTTCCACATTACTTCATTGATGTGTAATTCCACGCACCATGTTCTAGGCTACCAGACTTTCAGAGTATTTTGGCATAGAATACCACACCGATAAAACTTGATGCCGACCATCAATCCCCGTGACTCTCGCGAGACTCCAAAGCATCCTTAGTTTAGTTGAATTTTCATGGCAACCCGTTCGTACAGTCTCAATGATACCGAGTGAAGAAACGGACGCAAGTCTATGTTTTGTGATGGTCAGGCCCAGCTGTACCATGTTTCACGGCTTCACCGCATGACTCAATCAGTGTTCTTTCGGGTATGTGCAGACACTCTACTGCCAAGCGGCAGCCGTCCATAAGGAGTTGGCCTCTACCGTCGGTCGAGCAGCCAGGCTGGTGAGTACACTAGGCTGGGACGTGTCTTTTGCCACTTCTCTGTACCTGAGCTTTTATTGCAGGGTTCATAAGGCGGTGCGAAGCGGTGGTTCTTTGGCAGAACAGTTGCAAGCAAAATTTTTGCATGGGATCTGTGGTTTATTTGACAAGGCTTAAGTGCATTTGTAATTGATTTCAATACTTTGCGGATACAGGTTGATCTTGACTCCGACATGCTCGGCATCCGAGGGGAATCAGCCTAGGTAATTTCGGGAGGTCATATCTAGTGATTGTCGCAAAAGCACAGCTCTCAAGCAAAGAATTAGACATGTACAATACTTGGTGGATCAAGCAGGTTTCTGATGACGATGTGGTTTGCCCCTTCTTAGGCTAGTGTCATTGATGAGCGGTAGATGCGCGCGTTTGGCATAAGTAGGGAGTTGGGACTCCTCAGGTATGGTCAAGGAACTTGGAGTAACGGCAGCCGAGCTCGGCGTGTCACATTTACATGGTCGTGTGGCGCCATTGCAGAGGATTTAAAGCAGTCATGAAGAACGATCCTAACGTTGATTCTCGTCATTTATGCGTGAACCGATTGATCATTCAAACATACTGTCTGTCGTAGTCGAATCAAGCGGCTCAGCTCCAACAATCAGCCACCTAATCGTTTGGGATTGTGTCACTCTGGCCATTGCATGCAGCAGATTATTGCCGGGGCGGCCATGAAAACTGCTTTAGACTTTTCTAATTTTGAGACACGCGCATGCCAGAGTCAATCATGCAGAAACCGCACTTTGCAGTCATGCAGTCTGGCCAACCGCCTTGGTACGTCCCTTGAATAAAGTCATGCAACAAGGCTGTGCCCTGCGCTTCATGCTGATATACAAACCAACCCTTTAAACCCTTTCCGCACCCTTTCCGCTGGAAGAGGGCTTATTATCATGGCTCTTGCAGGCACCAAGTACGAATGCGTGCACAACGGAAAGAGAGACGTATGCAATACGGTACGAAGGGCAGAGCCGGAAGTTTGCAACGATGCTGCGGTGCTATACGGTGCTCGAAGTTTTGTTCATATGTTCTCAAAATGCTCAAATGCGGCCGGCAGCCGGCGCCCACGGCCGGCAGCCTCCGGGAAGTGCGGCCGCCGCGCCCGCGACTGATGTACAGCTCTGGCAACCCCCTGCGCGCGCAGACAGCCGCGCAGCTTACCGTATGTACACGGGAGACTCGCGGAGTCGGTCCAACGACAGCCCTACCTCGAGTCTGAGATGTCTCAGTCTCTCAGAGTCTCATCATTTTGGGCGCACAAGTGATACGCATGCTGATTTGGAGGCCTATGCAGCATCCATCTTTAGAAGAGGCTAGGAGCAATTCTTATGTGAACGAGTTTCGGTTCATCTTAGCACAAAGAAGCTGCGAATTGTTGGCGCGTGCAAGCAGAACGGAGCTTGCACGAGCAGTTGGGACAGCTGCACTGGAACTTTGACGTCTGATGTGGGGTGAGTTGCCTCCCTTCTCCTTCTTTTGCAATTCTCTCATGTGCAGATTGCTACAAACATCGCTGAAAAACCACTTTGTCGTGCATTACTCGGGTCACACCTTGGTCTACTTTGGTTAGCAATTAGACACGTCGTTTGAAGCTGTGTGATGGAGAGCTGTACGTGTCAATTGTGGTGGACTCCTCTGTGCAGTCCAACTGAAAAGTCTGCTCTCTTATCTGGAGCAGAACCAGAAAGTCTGCGACAGCACCTCATGTCTACAATTTGATTGTCACTATGCATCAAGTTGCACAGGACTGGCGCAGCCTGGCTAATGTAGCTCGATTGCCTGTTCCTTCTCATTTGAAAAGTGACCCGGCAGTTGTTAGTAGAGTCGTGTGTTTCCAGCACCAGTAACGTGCATTGCCGTGCCAATCTTGCGTGAGTGTGCTTGCACACTTCTTACAAGATTTGAAGTCTCTGTAAAAGTGACCATTTGGAATCAGTACATATGAACAACTTTTTAGCCAGGGGCAGCTTCTCTCCTACCTGGTAGCATCCACACAAATCTGACCAAACTTCAGTCCACGGGTTGCCTCATACCTGTATACGCACTGTTGTTAGTAGGAAATCTAGTTTCCTCAGAATGCCTATTTCAGGGACTTTCGCACCGTTCTTACAACTTTCCAAGGTTAAGAAAAGTAGGTTGCAGCGAGGCCACCACCACCTACATCAACCACACCTTCTTTTCAGTTATTATGTCACATTCTCCGTTTCTCCACACAATCTCTTTAGATTCTCTTGGTACCGTTGCTTCAATTACTTGCTTTCTATAATCACCTTCAAAGACCAGCTTCCCTGCTCGGCAAAAGTTTTCGTTCAACTCCTTTCAAACATTCGTCGCACGCACAATGTTCAGGTTGAACACATTTTGAGACCATCTCTGGGCCTTGGGACATGGACGTTGTCCTGGATGTTGGCCAATGGGAAGCAGAGGAGCGACCTCATGAGCACGAGTTTGGGAGGAGGTCGAGCAGCAGTGGCAGCAGGCGCGTGAGTAGAGAGTACCGACGGCCTACCATTGAAGAGGTGCGGCGCTGCGTCCTGAGCTATCAACAGTTTAACCAACCTTGGTGGACCGAGTTCGAGACAGGGCTTGACAATCCGCAGGATTAAGATCTCTTCACTCTCCTTGTGTGGTCTAGGAAAAAACCACTGTTGCTTTTCGTCCTGTTCTGTCAATAGGTTTAAAAGTTTGTAAAAGAGGCGATTAGCTCAAGTACCAAACAGATGGCAGCCGCGCGTACTTGAGTGTGCTCGTTCTTTTCATATGCGACCTGCTTTGTCATCTTGACTTCCAAGTCCTTTTGAGGCAAATACTCAAGCTCTACAACTGAGTTTACTCCCTGCGCAGTGGACCTGACTTGTCACTTTGTCCTGGTACCTGTGAATCCGCATTTTTCGTTTGGAAATTGACGGCCTTCAACTCCGCTTGCTGCACCTTGAATTGCCCAACTCGCGAGCAGTGTACGCAGCTTGAAAGCGATGTTTTGACGCAACTTAATGCTCTTCTGCTGCTTGCTATTTCTCATTCTTCAGCACCTTCAAGGGTCCCGTTTGGGGGACTCCCCTAGAACATGCAGAGTTACAAATGATTGCATGACGATTACAAGAGGAATTTGACTATCTCACAAAGTCCCGGACGTCCGCAGGTCGCACTTCCCCGCAGCGCGGACGTGCGCCTCGTCGCGCGCCACCGCGACGTGTACGAGCCGTGCGACGACAGCTTTGCGCTCGTGGACGCGCTCATGGCGGACCAGGCACACCTGCGCGAGCTGGACCCGAAACTGTGCGTTGAGGTGAGTTGCAGTTTGATTTGGTATCATTGTCTTTTTTCTGCAGTCCTGTTGTCTGTTGTTCGTGTAATTCCCGAATGTCAATGATCTGGCAACCTGCGAGCTGGAACCCATACCACTTGTGATGAGGTGAGTCGCAGCTTGACTAGATCTTCCGTTCGTCCTGATAAGGTCTAAATCTTTCTTTTGTGATCTGTTTCAATGTTAAAAATCGGACCCCACGGGCTGAACCCGGAACTGGGCGTTGAGGTGAGGCGCAGCTGATATATCTCGGCCTCGCCCTGGTCTTGGTGACTATACTGATGGGCCTTCCTTGTTGGACACCCACGACCGGACCCAGATCTGTGAGTTGAGGTCAGCTCCTGCTCGATCGTCATCGATCTCTCCCCCCCTAGTTGCGCAATTTACCCGTATCTGTCGATACCTCGCAAGGTACCTCGCTTCTTCTGGTCCCGACTCAATTCTCTTGACACCCGCAGGAAGTCCATGTTTGCAGGAAAGGACACTCCTCATTCTCCTTCTTTCCTTCCTTCTGTTTTTTCAAGTATCGCTCTGGCATTCTGTGCAGCGAATTTGGTGAAGTTCGTCAGCGGCATGCGCTGCAGACTTGATTGGTAGCACGGTCCACTCGTCTCTCTCACGCCTCTTCGGCGTGGAAAATGTGCGACGGGTGGAGTTTGCAGGGGTACCTCTGGGGCGGTGCAGTGCGTGCTTTTGAGTCAATTAAGCACGCTCTAGAAGCGAGGCATGATACTTCTACCCCCTCGTTCGAAAGTCCTTCCCAACGACTAGCTGTCTACGCCGTGCAGCAAACGGGCCTACAAAGATGCAAGGGTAGTATTTCCGTTTTCGCACATACTGAAGTCTCGGGAGTGCCGATCAGTACAAGAATGTGAGCGTTGAGTAGACTTCTGGGGCATCGGATTGTCTTAAGTTATTAAGTCGACTTCATGACATTGGAAATTTGGACTCTGGCAACCCAAACGTAACGCTCCTTACTCTGATGCCCTGAAGTGTTACGTCGTCCAGGTCGGCTCCGGGAGCGGTTTCGTCATCACGTCGCTGGCGCTCATGATCGGCGACCAAGGCAGCACGCGCTTCCTCGCGACCGACCTCAACCCGACCGCAGCGGAGGCCACGCGAGAAACGCTCGCAGCGCATGGCGTCGAGGCGGAGACGGTGGTGACGGATCTGTTGGACGGACTGGAGAAGCACTTGGAAAAGAGTGTCGATGTGCTTTTGTTTAACCCGCCGTACGTTCCAACCGAAGAAGAAGACGTTGGGGGGCCCGGGGCGATGGCTGCATGGGCTGGGGGCGACCGTGGTAGGACTGTCATAGATAGGTTTCTGCCCCTGGTTGACGGGTTGTTGTCGCCCGACGGGTGGTTGTATATGGTAACGCTCACGACGAATGATCCGCAGGAGATTTGCCGCATCATGAAGAAGCAGGGCTTTGCGTCGCGGATCGTGATACAGCGGCAGACAGAGGAGGAGAGTCTGCAGGTCATCAAGTTTTGGAGGGACCCGGCAGAGAGCGAGAAGTCAAAAGAGGAAAGGACGTTTGGGAGTCTGTCACTGAAACGTTTGGCTTTCTGGCGGTCCTGACGGTGCTTCCTCGCCGACGAGGAGCGCCTGAGCTGCCCGTGTATATTGAGAGTTTCGAATTCCGGATTTGTTGGGATGTTGCTTTGGTTGCCCGGGACTTTATAGAGGTGTGTACAGATTCTCGACATTGGCACCGTCCTCCAAGCAGGGATTGCAGAAGTCAGTCCCTTTGAATAAGCTTACAGCCCATCGTCAATGGTGGTCGCAGCTCCCTAAGCTTTTACGTTACGCCTTGAAACAAGCTACATATAGATCGATCCCTCATTTGAGAAATAATGAGTCGTTTGTTTGGAGTCACAAGTACCTCGGTGTGATCCTTGTCAACCGTCCCGGCGATTGGGTGATCATGGTACGGTGGGCGGCGTACTAACGTGTTGCATCATGGCATGAGCGGGCCACCTACAACATTGCCAGCCTGGCGGGCTTGCGACACTAAACTGCGAGATCCTATTCAATTCAATGATTTTGCACAGCGGCATTGAATCGTCCTGGTAGAGCATTAGATTCCTGAGAAGCCGCCCTCTAGTTGCAAGTGTAATCGCCATCCTGCCAGCCAATGCAAATGGAGAGTTAAGCTCGCGCGCATGCACATGTGCAACTGGCACCGCCGTAGCATATTCATGTACAATTAAGATCCATAATCGATTTTGCATGGCCGGCGGCCCGGCGCACTTTACCAACCGTCATCAGCCGCCAGTCTAACCAGTACTTACATGCAAGCTGTGAATCGATCATCGCACACGTACATGGTCCGACACTAGCTCACTAGCATGCGCATCTGCAACACGTCCGACCGATTGTATGGCCCGAGCAGAGCTATACAGGTTGTGCATGTTATGACCGTCATGCATGAAGAACCTTCAGCGCAATGTGGTTGGGTACTTGATTGAAGTCCGGGGCGATCGATCAGAAGAGGCCGCTAAGATGGAAGTTGCAAGGGTTCAATCTCTCGGATTGTGCCAGGTCTACATGTACCATCTTGCGATGATGGTGGACTTCAGCGATTGGATCGATCGAGGAATTTACCAGTGTGCATGATCGATATAGCTCAGCGGCTATTGAGCACCAGCACTTTAGCGGGTCCCCTGAGATTATGGTGCTGCCAACTCGCTTCGCTGCATCTACTACTTAATCGATTGGGCACATGCTGGCGGGCAATCGACATCAAATCATATCATGCACATGGCAAACGAGTTTCACTATATGGTACAGGTTCTTGCTTCTTAATAATCTTATGAATGGCAGTCACTCGTTCGTACGTGCTCTTCGGCTTAAGCCGCACAGAGTTAACTTGGAGACACATCTCACCGGAGGTTTCAAACTCCCGATGGGCCAGCTTATAATGGACAAAGTACGGTACACAACTCACTAGCATGCAAAAGGTTGGGGACTTTGGAGTTTCAGTGTTTCCTCTCAATCGACCGATATCTATCTCAAAGCACGTGCCCCACAAACTGGTGACCTCTTTAAATCTAGAATTGGCTCTCAAGTCGACCATGAGAAAGTCGGTAGGTCATTCGTACACTCTCCGCTGGTCATGCACTAGCAGTCCCAGTCCCTACATCGTTTGAATTGGTCACAAATTCTCATGTATTGCGTTACAGTCTCTTCAGAAGAAGCTTCTCAACCAGCTTAC